ACACTGTGCTATGTGCTGTATGAGAAAATAGAATAAAGCCATGATCAATTTTACTAAAGAGCTCGCCACCTAGCTAGGTAAATATAGCAAATATGTGAAACAGTTCAAGCAACATACTTCAGGATATTATAAATGATAAATTATGTAATGCACACCTTAAAGAAACAAAGGCTAATAATCATGATAGCCATTATTTGCCAGGTACTAAGCATTGTGCTCAGTACTTTCTATGCATAATGTAACTTAATTCACACTGTAAACTTTTGTGGTAGGTTTTATTATTAACTCCAGTTTGTGGATGTGGATCCTTGAGACCCTATCCCAGAGATCCTTGAGATCAGCCTGAATGAGCCAAATATGGAAAGTAGGGCTAGAGTCTGACTTTGACGAATGGACAGTGAAGAAGGAGATTCTCCAGAGTGTGCTTGGATTATGGAATCCAAGGTGTACCTTGAATTATTTATACATTTTAATATTGTCTTTTTCTTAAAAACTCAAAGCAGAGCAAAGAGCTCTTTGACTTTAGAAATATCCTTGTAACAGTCTATGAACACTTTAAAATTGAAAAGTCTGGGAAGAACAGTTACAGTGGAAAGGAAACAGGCAAAGAAATTGAGTAGCTGAGGAAGGAAAGGCCAGCAGTGGGGAAGTACGCACGAGTAGTTTTAAAAAATAGTCATCGTTACCCTGCGATAGGAGAAAATGCTCTACTATGGAAATTCCCACCCACCTAAACTTGAACTAATTTGCTTCCTCATGAACTGTGCTTCATTCCCTCCTCTCGCCGAGTGAATGATGCCACCACCCCATCTTCCACTTCCCTCACCCCAAATTCCTGATCGGTCAGTAAGGCTTGAGGCTTCAAAGTATAGGGTTTGCTGGCTCGACCCTGCCACTTACCAGGTAGATGGCCTTGGACAGAGTACTTGATCCCTACTTACTAATACCCTCACTGGTTAAAACGTGGATAAAAATAGAACATATATGATAGTTTTAAGAATTAAATTATATATGTACTATCTTTTTATTACTGGCACATATAAAGCACATAGTTACGTATTTTTCAAAACATCCTATTAGTCCAAATCACTTGCACCAGTGAGACAGAAAGTACTCTGGGAAGTAGTAAGGGCATGGAAGGATAGAACCACAAAAATGGACCTCAGCTCAGATACCGAAAGGACCGAGTCAAAGGCAGAATCAAGGTAATGCTGAGCCAAAACAGAACAGCTGCTTTCGCCTCCTGAGACGCTCAGAGACATACTCAAGCTGCCTGCCCATTGCTGCTATTAGATTCTGCCAATCGGCCTTTTCTCCTTGCTTCATGAATATTCCATAAACCATAAGCTTTCCAATTCCCAAAGAATAGAAATGGTCACTTTACGGCTGCCAGGCCATTAACAGTTCATAGGTCACATACAGCAACAAGGACTCAAACCACTATTGAGCTCAGCCAAAGGACTATCGGATGACCAGACGCCATGTAGATTCTGAAGTCAACTCCAAAGGGGAGCTTGAACACATTTTAAACAAAGGCAGCACCGCTGGAATAAACAAATAGCCATACGAGTTGGAACACATATTTGAATGAGTAAATGTCACCTATCTGATGAGAATCTCCATTTAAACTCCAAGCCTTATAAGATTTTTAGAATATTTCTTTCCAGTAACATGCTTTAAAATTTTGCTCTTAACGCAGTTTCCCCTTCTGGAGTTCCTCCTCCTTATTTATCTCTTTATTTTCTTCTCTCTCCCTCAAGTTTAATATGTCCTCAACCTTCAGAATCAAACTTGACATTGAAGCCGTTCAATGACAACTGACGCTCCAAAGCCAGCTGTGCCCTGTCAGCAATCTGAAGTCAGGAGGCTGGGCAGGCCAGCCCATTAATCACTGTCTTTAGAACAGACATTCTCCAAGTAAGCTGCTGTGGAGATCCAAGTCATCACACAGAGTCACGCTTCTAGGGGACATAAAGCAGAGGATGTCTACTCTGAACACGTTTATTACAACATTTCTTCCCAACCCTTAAATGTTATGACTCTATGCCTTTCACAAACAAATCTCATCTCGATCTTGATTATGCCATTTGCACGCAGCACGCGGGCCACGCTGCCGACAGGAGTTACTGAATCAGAGTAGCCTTAGCCGACTCAACCAAGCGTTTACCAGCAGTGACAAGTGCTGTAGTCAAGAGATATGTGTCAAGGAGCAAATAAAGTATCATTGGTTTCGTTCCCACATTTGGAAATTCTGTAGAATAGTTTTATTCTGACTAAGTGGTACTTTTAAGTATTTATGATATTCCACTGTAACACTAATGCAAGGAGTCTCGTCGCTTTGCAAAAAGGAAAAAAAATCTTCAGCGATTCACTATAAACAGAAAAAAATTACATATGTAAAATGTCTGTGCATCCAGAATCTTTGGAAGTGAGCAAGCCTGGGTCTAGAGGGAGTTAATAGCTATATGGGAGAGTCAGTATATTTTATCATTTCAACATTACTAGAAAATCATAAGTAGAAATATGTTGTTTTAAAACTTAAAGTTAACCACTAGTGATATAAAACCATGACATGCAGCTTACACAGTACATGAGAAACAAAAAAATAAGTAAAATTTAGCAATGAAAATATAATTATAAAACTTAATATGAAAAAATATTTTAAAATATTATAATCATACCAAATAGAATTAAAGGAAAAAGGCATTATATGGGGCCAAAAAGTTATTTTGTGATTAAATGCATAAATTGATATGGAAATGGGGCAGTTATGAATCAACATATTGGATATCAGAGCATCAAAGTCTATAAAACAAAAATAGCTAAAATACAAAGTGAGTGAACATAATCACAATATTAGTAAGAGGATTTTTCATATCTTTTTTGGTATTTGAAAGATTAAGAAGAGGTGACTAATTAAGAGAGTGAAATAATAATGTTTTAAGTAAAATTGATTTAATAACTAAAAATCAACTTTCAAATTGCCATGAAACATTTATAAGCTTTCAGCATAACTCAGGGTGTAACAAAAATATCAATAACATTCAAATCTGTACCAGGTAACATTTCTGAACTAAAAATAAACAGTGAAACAGTGGAGCTAAATAAACAAACAAAATCCCATTTGGAAACTTTAATATTGTCTTCCAATAATTCTTAGCTTATAGAGAAAACCAGCAACATAGTTGCAGAATATTTAGCAAATAATTGTGATAATATCATTTATCAAAAGTTATGCATATGACCAAAGCTATATGCAAAGGGAATCTCATTGTAATAAATGGAAACTTTATTATTAAATAAAAAAACAGCGAAAATAAGTTAGTGAGAATTAAATTCAAGAAGCTAGGAGAAGAGTAACAGAATTAACTTGCAGAAAGGTAGAATTAAAATAAATCATGATCATTAATTAAAAAACAGGAACAGTAAATTAAATAAATAAATATACCCAAGAGCTGATATTTTTAAAAAAGGAACAATAAATAGAATTCTTCTACCAAGGTCTCAACACAACAAAGGAAAGCAAATAAAACAACAGTAAAAGGTAGAGAAGGCTACCTATGGGGAAAGGGAAAGGGAATAAAACTGCAGATAATCAGTTTTTTTAAGTAAAAAATACATAGGAAATCCATTCTAAATGAATTCCTTTAGAGGACAATGTAAGCTATCCAAACTTACTTAATGGGAGGGCAGTAACTTTCCTACCTGCTCACATGCCATTCTAGGAGAACCAGGGCCTTCTAGGAGCAGTTATAAACCGTGGGACCCTAAACAGTCAATCCCTGCCAGGGTGAACCCCAAACTGCCATTTTCTCTCAGAGGACTTACTTCCCTGACTGCCTGTGTTTGGAAGGAAATCCCATCCTCCTCACACTGTCCCAGCTCTCCTTCAGCACTGTCTTAGCACTATTACCATCTAACAACCCAAGTTATTATTATTTATCATTTTAAAAATCATCTGTCTCCCTTTCTTTGTCTTACACACTTAAATGTAAGCTCCATAGTGTAGGATATTCTTTTGGGGGTGGAGTATGTGTATTTTTGATTATCAGACCATAAACACAGTCTGTCTGTCATTGGTGTTAACTGTGTATTTGTTAAATGAATAGGAAGAGAAAAAGAAAGAATGAATAAGTAAGTAAGGGAATGAGTTATTACCTATAGAGAATAAAGTTGATGGTTTATATACACTTTGATTAGGGCAAATACAAACAAAAGGAGTCTTAGACAGCCACTTGTGGTTCTTATACACTACAATAAAGCTGTGTATAAGTGACCACAGACACTTTGCCGATTCCAGAAAGAAGCTGGTAAGTGAGAATGAGCGAGAGCAGAGCATCTGAGGAGGTGGCTGAGGGGAGGGCGAGAGGGATGGGGAGGGGCCGGGAGGGGGGTTCCTGTCCGCTTTCTCATTTTCATGATGATCTTTCCATTTTTGTACAGCTGTGAATTATAGTAGCTCTTGTTAGGTGTCCACATCCTTTTGGCTCTGTTCCTTTACAACAAGAATTCTCAATCTTCAATGTATATCAACTGCAACTATGGGTCTTCCTATTGGTTTTACTTTCTTCTTTAATACAAGGGCACAGGCCCCACCCAGCTCCCTGTGATAGTTCAAATGTGGGGCCAGGTTAAGAACGGCTGCTTTACTTTGTTCAATGAACCCTACGAAAGCATATTTCCAACCCACTCAAAGATACCCGCATGTTCCTCTTAATAGTATCCAGAAGATGCTGCCCCTTTCTCAGTAACTTTTAATGTTGAAAAGGACTTTCAGACAACCAGTGCCATCTGGCTCATCCAAAGCTGTTTAAATTCTAAGCCATTAACCACATTTATAAAGTTTACATTTATAATTATCCTTTTGTATTTTTCCGGATTTTTAAATAACTTACAATTTGTCATTAGTATTTCAAATTCTCATTTCTCCCCCCACCCTTGACGAGGTAAATTTGACCAAGAAACTCAAATGTTAAGTTGAAGGAAATTGAGTCAAATACCTGCAGAGGTGCTTCAGGATGCGTTGCTCTGAGCACTGGAATAGCTGGAATTTCCTGAAGAGCTTTCGATGTCTTCTTTTTGGCTTTTTCTATTTGAATATTGGTAAAATAATTGACAGCAGCAAACTCAATAAGGGCGGAAAATACAAAAGCAAAGCAGACAGCTATGAACCAATCCATGGCAGTGGCATAGGACACTTTGGGCAGAGAATGCCGGGCACTGATGCTCAACGTGGTCATGGTGAGGACTGTGGTTATTCCTTCAAAGCAAAAGAGCAAGAGACAAAACGCTTTACCATTACTTCTGTGTGAAAACAAAACAAAACAAAACAAAGCAAAAAAACCTAGGGTTTCGGTGGGTGGTGTGGATGGTGGGGTAACAAACTTTCTAGTTCAAACCAAATCATCTTTAATGGAAGATTCTAATTCTAGTGGTTTAGTGAAATTATTAGCATGGGCTTTTCTACTGTTGGCTAAGTGTGACTCTGATTAAGTTATGAAAACACCTAGTGTATATCGTATCTCGGCCAACATTCCTGAGAAACTCAACACACACACCTAATAGAAAGTGCTACTCGTGGAAGCACTGATTCTCAACCAGGAGTGGCAAGTTGGTAGCACACAAGATTGGGGCATCAGAATTTCTGGGGTAGGCATAGTCCACTGCTATTGAAAATCACTATCAGAAGAAGTACAAATTATAGATACTTATAATCTTTAATTGAATATTACCTATTGAATTAAAATAATAAATTTTACTAGTTGTCAAAGGCCTTAATTTATATAAAACAATAAAGGTATATTAATGGAAAAACAGATTTCTAGAACATTTCAGTATTAAAAACATTAGACATCTACCATCCATCAATATATGGTTGGGAGGAAAATATTTGCAACAAGAATAGAGGTACTTTTCTTCTATCAATAGGCTCCTGAAGCATGTCACCTCCAGGAAAGCCTTTTCCTCAGCCTGGAAAAAGGAGAGTCCCTATTCTGAATGGAAAAATTCCACTTGCCACTGGAACTATAGAGAAATGAATTATTTAAGGATTTTAATATTTGTACAGTTGTCCCTTTCTGTATTTTTGTCTATCTTTATATCTAATCCATGCTGTCTAGTTAAGCTTGGAAGTTTCTGTGGGGATTTACTATATCCATTTGAACTCATTCTATATGATGTGTACAATTGCTCCTTAATTGACATGCCCAGTGGTTCGGTGATGATGACGACAAGGACAATGATGGAGGCATCTAAACTATCTATTCCAATCCATGGCTATCCCTAGCTGAAAGCCAAACTGTGTATGTTAAACCAAAGAGATTGTGAGCCTCATGCAACAATAAAGGAATCATAATATTTTGATTTAGGGAGGAATTATGTCTTCTCAACTCAGCATTTAATTATATTCTTTCTGCCCTGTATTATTTCTTAATTGTTCCAACTTTATTGGATATAGCCTCCATGAGAGCAAATGTGTCTAATATTGCTTCAGCATTTACCATAATATATTACATCGTGCCAGGCACATGATAAATGCACAGTAAATAAAAACCCATTTTTTTCAGCTCCTCGCCAATCCATTTCTCTCCAGTCCCTTCTGAACTGTCAATGTTTAGAAAATGAAAAATTAGAAAATTAGAGCAACTGTGCAGCATATGAGCTATAGATCTTAAAACATTCCATAAACTATACAGTGAATGGAATTGGAGAATTTGGTTATATTCCCTTTTTAAAAACATTTTGTGGTATTTTTAGCATTTTATTAGTATAAAATAGATCTTAAAATGTAAAATGTGTTTTTTTGTCAAACATAAAGGTACCTAAATCTCTATGAAAATATAATATTATGAATTTACTGGATTTTGTTTCAGAAAAGGACCTTACAAAGTTAAGGCTTCCTTTTTAAATCTCAGAAAAGGAGCATCATTTCCATGCTGGCTATGAGATGCATTGAATAAACCCTAAATTAATTTTGAAAAATTTTAGCTACAGAGATGAAGATAAATCAATTTTTCTTCTTTTTCATAATAATTTCAGTTTAATGGCCTATTAAGTACCCAAGAATATCTGACAACTTTCTTAGATATATTTCTTCTAATATCATAGAAATTATGCTGAAAGTACTTGGAAATAAAATATGGAGAGAGTGGCTTAATAAGAAGAATATTACTCAGAACTTAGAAAATTCTTCAGAGACCATAATGTGATATGTGATAGCAAATCAAAGAAATGAACCAAAAAAACCCCCCAAAAACAAAAACACTGAAGTCAAATATAAGCAACTTAGAATTCCCCATGTTGCTTTGAACATTTTTTTTTCTTGGTAATAGAACAACTTATCCCAAGGACCAAAAGTAGTGCTCTTCATTGTCTCCTGCTGTCATATGAAGAAATTACCTTATTAATGTTGAGTAGTAGAATATTAATGCAATTATTGAGCCATGAATCCAAAAGTTACTTTCTGATTGTTAATGGATAGATCACCAAGTTCATGAAGATGTTAAATGATGCTACAGGCATCAATGCAAAAAATATGCATTGCTGGATATGTGGCCACTTTCTGTTTTTTTCATTATTTTCAGTCAACTTGATTTTAAAGTTTGTAGAGTAGCCCTCCAGATATTATATTTCATATTTTACGGCTGCTGGCAAAATTAAGAAATTAACTGGCATAAACAATTAGCTAAGTGTTTGAAGTGCCCATCCCTTTAGATATTAAAAAGTTCTCTGCATGGAGTTCAAGTTTAAAGAACTCCTAGCATGATAGGGAAGTGCTTATTCCATCTACTTTAGGTGGAGCATTTGGTTAAATAAACAACAAATGAATCACAAACAGCAGCCAACCCTTCAGATAAGAAGCCATGCTTCCCCTGAACCCAGGAAGACAGTGCATCTGTTTAAATGGCTTAGCTGGCACCTACCCTTGAAAACATTTCAATAACCATAGAATATTTTTGACATGTTCACGTACTGATGCCAGCCCGTTTTTAGAATGCTGAACATGCACCATATTGGCTGGCCCAGGAGCTGGGAGAGGACGTGTGTGAGTAGGCTAAGGCTATACACAAGAGTAAAATCCTGGCTGCTCACTCCTAGAAAAATGAACTAGTAATGATTTACATATGCCAGCTGGCATTTGCTCAGGTTTAATGTTTTACTATGCTGGAATAATTAGAAAACTTAGAGTCATACAACTTTGGAGATAGAAGGCCTTTGGAGGAATTAACCTCGCTCTACTTCTCATATTTACAATAAGTTTGTTTTTTTGTGGTTTTTTTTGGTTTTGCATGGTCTCTAGTGAATACCTGATCCAGCCAATTCTCTTTTTGAGTAAAGTGTAAAATAAGAATTGGGGAAGATAAATACCAGCCCAGAATTAATTTTTTACCTCTCATATGAAATAGATTGCTAATGCCCCTCAAATACTTAAAACTTAACTGTCTTAGGAATATACCATCCTAGAGCCTCATTGAACAGTCTAATTATTACCATTTTGACATATTGAAGACTTAATTGCTAGGCATAATTTACCTGGTCAATCAAAACCAATATCTTGTCACGTGAACACAAGACAGAGGCAAATGTCACATTTCAAATTGAAAAAGCTACCCAAAAAGTATCTTAAGTGCATATCCACTCAGCAGGTCTGGAATTTTCCAAAAGTACCCCATATCTTTATACCCCCTGTGAAGGCAGAAGGCAGAGTAGAAATGGCAGAATTCCCACAGTTAGATAGAAATTGTCTCGGGTCCATCACTTTTAAGTATGTGACTTCAGCCAACTTTCTTAATTTCTCTGAGTCATTTTCCTTATTCATAAATATTAATAACTCCTACCTCGTTGAGTTATTGTAAAGATGAAATAAGATGACCCCTATCAGCATATGGCAAATCTTATCATAATTACTAATAGTATTACTAGTATCCTTACTACATGCTAATTAATGTCCTTATATTGTCTTCTCTGGGTAGGAAATGTTGGTTGGGTACAGCTGTAATCAATGCGATCCCTCCCCACAGCACTGAACATTTTTATTACTTAGGGATATGTTAGACAGAACAGTGGCTACCAGTTTGTAGCCAACCAAGGAAGCATTCAAAGTTTATCAAGCAATTACAATAACAATAAAATACAGAGAACATTCACATTATACTATCAAGTAGTGATTCTCAAATGAGGTAAGTGGCAGCATAGATGCCATACTAATAAATGATACTCAAATAATATTTACTGTGTGACAGGCATAGTTCCAAGTGCTTTATCCAAATTAACTTATTTAACCCACATGGCAGCCCTGAGGATTTCATCCTGTTTTGATACATGAGGAAACAGGCAGAAGTAACTCACTGAAGGTCCACAGCTAATGAGTGTAGACCCTGGGGTTAGAACCCAGGCTGCCTGGCTCCAGAGTCTGCCCCACGACACCATTGCCTCTTCATCAGAGGCACTAAGAACGGGTCAGTATTTTCTGTTCTAGTTCTACAGGACCATAGAAAAACGAACATAATGTATGTACAAGTGATGTTATTTTTATTTTCAATGATGATAATTCCCCAAATACTAATATTACTTGTACTAGGCGAAGTTAAGGGATGTTGATCTGCTGCTCGGCCTCAGCAGCCGGCCTCTGAACACAGGTGCAAAAGGTTAGTGTGAGCCCGAAACGAGACAACCTAGCGGAGCGCCTGCTACACAGTAGAACAATGTTGTCTTTCAAAACAATCAAAAATTAAGAAAATCAAGTCAGAATAAAATTAATCTCCTCTACACAGAAGTATGGGCGAAAGTAACTAACATGTTCTGAGCGCTCCATACACCCTGTAACGAGTACTGCACATAAATCTAAATTCTCACTAGTCTCTGAAGAAAGGTATTATCAGAATTTTATGGGTGGAGAAAATCAGTGGCAGATTCGAATTTTAAATCCCGACCTACTGTAGTCCAAAACTCACACCTGTTTTTAAGAGTTGAAGTTTACTCACCGCTTGCAATGTGTGGTTTTTCTTTCACTGAACCCTCACAACTCTCTGAAGCAGTCTGTGCCATTACACATGCTCACAGCCTTCCTAAGGTCAACCCTGCCCTCTCCCAATGAACCCTTCTGGGGCTTCCCCAATAGGATTTCAATGCCTTTTCTAAGATTAAATGGGGGGGGACATGGAAAATTCCCCACGGTCAAGTCCACTAAAGACACTAAGACCTCCTTGTCATCAGTTCTCTAAAAGGATGGGGAGGTGGGATGAGAAGCTGCCAGCCCCCCACCCCCAGTTCCTTCTCACCAGCACCCCTTCAGCTCCCTGCGATAAGGGCTATTATACCTCGCCTTTGATTCCACACAGTAGCAAAAGTGGAGGGAGACTGGTATCTCTTGTGAGAACTGTGCCTCCACTCCAGAGAAATTCTGAGTGTTTTCCTTCTGATATCACTACCGAGTGCTTTCACTACTCACAATCCACAGAAAAATAATGGGGAAATACACTCACTCGAATAAATACCATAACTAATTTTGTTTAAAAGCATGACTGACATGTAAAAGACTTACTTAACAGCTCTAAAAATTTAAAACTCAAGAGTTCTGGACTTCATATTGTTTAGAATATAATACATAAAAAGCCACTATATACACACAAAAATATGTTGTGTTCAGAAAAAAATGCACATAGAATATAACAATGCGCTAATAAGCTAAGCATATAATATATAATACCTTCCAACTCAATTCACTTAAGCCGTTTGCATTTTGTTCGTCTTCATTAACAGGCAAATGATTCTAGCCTTTCGTATTCATTCAGCCATGCCTTTTATTTGTTTTATTTTAAGCTCCCAGTGCATTTCATTTTAACACCTAGATATGACTTTAATTCAATTACACAGCATTAGGCTAGGAGCCCAAGAACACCACCAAAAGTGAAATTATATCCAGACTCACAGTTAGTCTTTACCTGCCTGGTCTCAATAAGCAAAAACTGACGGTCCCCAAAGGAAGGGATGAACCGCCCCTCTCCCCTCAAGCTCTATCACTTTGTATGAGCTAGATAAAAATGAAAGCTTACATGATTCTTAACTCAGCACAGTCTGATATATTACTGTTTAATATTTTCTTCAAAGTGATATTCTAAGAGCTATTCCCATGAAATCATAAGCAAATGTAATATGAGCAAAAATACCCAAGAAATGAATTGCAGTTACCAAATACAGTCCTAGCTGGAACTGATTCCTTATTTATCCAGAAGGAAACTTGCGAAAGAATCACTGTCATAATACATGGAATGTACGTCTGAATCATAAAATAACCCATCTTCCGTCTGAGGTGGAAGTATACCGTCATAACAACATATTCACCTACAAATAAAACATGACGAAAATGTGTTATTGGTTCTGTAGCCAGTTTTTCAGTGGCTTCCAAATCATATTTCAGACCAACAAAAGGCATTTGAGGCAAAAAAATGATCTGTTGTGCTGAGAAATATTCACAACAGATCAAGAAACATCGAGAAATATGTAGTTCTTAACTAGGGGGACTGAAAAACACTTTTGTTTTACACAGTGATTAAGCAATTTAAGAAATAAGCTATAACTTTAAAAAAAGTTCTTATAGTGTTTTCTGTTTTAAAGGCCTAGCACTGTGAAAGCAATTAGCTTTCATTTTCAGCATCTTTTGAGAGAAAATTTAGACCTTTTATCAAAAAATCACTAGAAAATGCAAATGCACACACACATAGAGCTTAAATTTAAAAAGAATTGAAATATACAGATAAACATTTTATATACACATATGGTGCCTTACTGCCTTAGTTTTAGGAAAGAGCTGTATTTCTAAATGTTAAATATATGAGAAAAAATAAAAAGACACATATATAACATAGAGCCATATAGAACATCCCCAATTTCAGGAATATTTTATTGGCATTTAGACAAAAATCTAAAATGCTAATAAGGGAAACAAACAATAAGATTTCTTGTAGCTGCTGATAAATATTTTTAATGTTACATCTAAAAGGAACATATTAGAGAGTTACTTAGGAGTCAGTAGCCACATTCTCAAACTGTAAAACCCAAGATTCAGAAGCCTCAAATCCCACTCGTTTTCAATCTCACTTGCAGGCTAGGAAATAAATGTTCTCAAAAAATGCTCTTTTCCTGGCAGTATGTGTATGTAAGGGAATAGTTTTAGAATAAGCAATAATCAGCCAATTTTTCCTATTAAATATGATAAAAACTAAATCCTATGATTCTTTCCATTCACATTTAAAAAGCAAATACAGATCAAGAATCATAAATAATAATCATCCATCTACCCACGTGACAGCTTTAACACATACCCTTAATATATTTTGTAGCTAAGCTTTACACTTTGCTTAGAGGGAGGGCAGTACCACAAAATCAGGCAGAATAAAAGAGATTTGGGGGAAGCACCAGAAAACGAGGAAAATCCAGTGTCCAAAAGTCAGTGGTCAGACTTTCTGTTTCAGAATTCTGTTGAAAATAATTTTAATATCATTGATTCCTGACTTTTGTTTCTGAATAAGAAAAACAACTCCCATCTCAATAACTCAGAATTGATTTTAAACTAAGATTATAAATATAAATTTTAAAATTCTGAACTGTGCCCCGCTGGCGTGGCTCAGTGGTTGAGCGCCTGCCCATGAACAGGAGGTCCAGGTTCGATCCCCGGTCAGGGCACAGGCCCGGGTTGCGCACTCGATCCCCAGTAGGGGGCGTGCAGGGGGCAGCTGGGTGATGATTCTCTCTCCTCATTGATGTTTCTCTCTCTCTCCCCCTTCCTCTCTTTGAAACAGATAAAAACACATTTTTTAAAAATTTCTGAATTGTGATTTATGCATCAACTCTATTTCTGGAAACTTTTTGTTGTCCCCTGAAAACAGTAGCTGTTTCCATGACAAAGCTAGGACAAAACTCCACTGCTAATGCCAAGCAGCACGTTGACTTTAACTGTTAAACATCTCACCCGTGATGGATTTGATGGTTTCACTTGATACGGTTTGCCCAATCAAGTCATACTGAACCAAGCTGGAAGACTCCTTTGGCACTTCCACCGATTTCTCGGGACCTTTTGTCCAGGTATAAATCATCTCACTCTTCGGGTAAGCATCTGAATAACAGCACAGAATGTGGTTAGAGTCAGCGCTTCTTTTCATCAGCACCGATGGTCAACAGTCTTTAAGAATATTATGCTTGTTCAAGAAAGATGGAATAAATGAAAACAATAACCATGATTTATTTAAATATGTTTTAGATTTAGAACACTGGACAGAATAAACAGCCTTGCATATTTCTTTTATGCCAAAAAATTAAAGGAGGAAAGATTAACACTAAAGCAACTAAAATGCTATATCTGCATCAATGCACTTAGATATGTTTCCTAAAAAGCACAAATGCTTCCAAGTTGAAAAGCACAAATAATACCCTCCCCCCCAAAAAAAGTAGTCAAATTACTACTTCTTTCCATTCTTGACCAATATTAACTCTTCCATCCTAATGCCAATTAGATACATATGGAATGTTGCCTATAATAATACAACAAAAACAAACATAAATCCTGCTGTTGGGAGAGCTCTCCAGGAGTCACCTATTCCAGACTCTGCCTCTGGGCAATGCCCATGTTGTCTGGGAATCACGCTACAGTGACAACTGGCTATGCTGTTTGTAAGGCTCTCCAGGGAATATAATTACACAACCAGTTCCACTACCTTTAAACTCTTACAATCAGGACATTTTCCCTTCTTTCTTCAACAAATCCCTCCCAGCAGCAATTTAAGCCCATTTTCTATTATTCGATGTTCAATGCAAATGGACACCAGCTGCTTGCTTACCAGCCTACCCAGAACAGATAGCTTGGCTCCCACACAAGTAAGCTGAAAAGAGCCGAGATGAATAGTGTACTACCCTCCACAGACCTTTCTAAAATGGCTAGAGCGCAGTAGGTCCTCGATGGAATTGTTCAGTTCTACAAAGCGAGTTGATACCTAGGGAGACTGTCTTTAAAAATGACTTTGCAAAACAAACTATGAGGCTTGTGTTGTCAGTTAGCATCATACAGTTATGTGTCAGCATTGATCTCCTGAAGTATATTCACGCTTAATCATACAGTAAAAATCCCCAAATACTATGTTCCTGCCCATGATATTTTAAATAAGGTACCCATCTCTGGGCTAGCCTACCTTGCTAGAAAATTCTTTTTCTTAATGATTCAATATTTGAGGCTGGGTGTGGGGGGTGGGCAAAATGGGTGAAGGTGATCAAAACCTGTACCTCTCTTTTTAATTCTCAATCCCCAAACATCAACTTACAAGGAGTAATTTATTTATTTTGTGGATGTCCTTATTAAGCACCAACTATGTTTAAGTCACTCTGAAGAGTGCTTTCTATGTGAACTAGGGGTGGGATGGGTAGGAAAGATAAAACCCTAGATAAGAACTATGTGAGTGAAATCTAAATTATAATGGCACAAATGGATTTTAATTCTGGCCCCAGTGAGGTCACCTTTTGTGTCTCGGTATTTTTCTGTTTTTATCTTCCCTCATTAAGTCACTGGTCAGGGAGCAAGCGACTCTCTTTAGCTTCAAGTTAGCCCACTGAATATTGTGCTTACCAGAGGTTATAAAAAGAACTGTGACTGCTGATTCTCATTAAGTTAAGCAATGAGCAACGATAACAGCAGGCAAGTTTCACAATCAGTTCAACTAAGAATCTGAAGCAATAGTAAAAAGCAGCATCTATTTTTGGTAGATTCTGATTAAATCAAATATTTGAGGCAGACATTAGACAAGGCAATCAAATTCTGCTGCCATTTCAGAGAAGGTTGCTTAGGGGGAAGGGATTCCATATTCTTTCCTATAAGTTCATTTCACCCTCTTGCCTTCACCTCCACAGCATATCCCCAATCCATCTCTCTCACACCTTCTCCTCCAGTACCATTGGAGTCCAAGCCACCACCTGCTTTGCTTGTACCAAAACACTGGCCTCCAACTCCTCTCTGCTTCTACTCTAGCCTCCCTACAATCCATTCTCTACAGTAAATTGATGTGAAATTGTGAAATGTCAACCCAAGAATGCCACATCCCTTAATTAAGTCTCCCAAAGGCACTGTAATACCTGGCTCTGTCTACAAGTCCGAGACCACACCTCCTACTATGGTTTTGTCATGCTTCAGCCACTTTGAAACCAACAACACTGCTTATATTATTCTAACGTGTGTCATGTCAAGAAGCCCTGAATCTTTTTTGGACTTTCTTTTTTTTCAAGCCTGCCATAAAGGACTCTGCTTGTAACAGAACAAAACAAAACAAATTCATTTATACTTGCTGTGTTACACCACCAACACAAGGAGTTCAGAGGCCCGAAATTTCACCACTGACCATCAACCTATTACTTTTGAGTCAGTCTACCTAGGCTTTCTGCAGAAATAGGTTTTTGTTTTTTAGGGGAAAGAGGATTGTTTTTACTTCTTTATTTAAATACATTAGATAATAAACAGTCTCCTAAAAGTCAAATTTTGGACAGTTGTCATGGAGAAAAATTTAAATGTTGGATTATAGAAAATCATGCATATATATAATTATCAGCTTACGTGATATAATGATTAACTCTAACAACATATGCATTGTAACTTACAACTCCCAAATTTCAAAGGACATGCATGACCATCCATTGGGAAATCCACCAGTCTCATGGGACACTCCGCACTTATGGTGAGTCTATGATGGGAAAAGACAATCAGAATCAACTTTGTCTCTAAAAATAAATTTATAGATCCCTAAAAATGAAGGAAGGAGAGGAGGAAAAAAGGCAGGCAGGCAGGCAAGCAGGAAGGGAGAGAGGGAGGGAGAAAAAAGATAAAAAGGGAGGAAGGAAAAAAATGACTACCTCATCGTGTATAAAATAGTGCCATTTCTCATAATTCTAAAAAGTTTATTTGGGGCTGTCATATTATGTGAGACAGATTTCTTTCCATTCCTGAAGAAAGTATCAGGGGTCCATACTTTTGTTACCATCATGTTGTTCAATCTCAGAATTTCAATGGGGCCATCATATTTTAGTCTTTTGTCAATCCATGTCTGTCTGAAGAACACATCCATTGTGTATTCCTAGGAAAATTAGTTCATGACATATTCAAATCACAGATGATTACACATAAGTGTGCAAGATATGAATTAAATTCTAGCCTCTTTCCTACTCATAAAAAAGACTACCCAAATAAAAGCTAAATTAATAGGAGCAGAAATTTCCTTAAATCAGTGGAACCAAAAGATTCTCAGCAATTAAAGCATGTTATATCCATCTTGATACCTTAATCTTCTACATTTATTAGATAAATTACCATACATATTAATCATTCAAAAGTAATGGCTATAATTTAATAAGGGTTGTGTAGGGATGGGGAATGAGCCACCATGGAACACTAAATGCAATCAGGGCCACAATACCAAGTTTTACAACAAAACAAATTACAATCTCTAATTTTCTCCTCTTCAATAATTTTCTAAGGAAAAAAACACTGCATACAAGGTTGTGACACGGAGACCAGTAAGAGGGAAGTTCTTTTCTTTGTTGAGAATGACTCCAAGCCCAAAAAACTCCAATGTTAGAGCTAAAATGCAAACTCAGTATCTTATTTTGATATATAAATATCATATAAATTACATAAATACATATTAACTGCCCTCTTTTTTGTTTGTTTTCTTCAAATCTCAAANTCATATAAATATCATATAAATTACATAAAATACATATTAACTGCCCTCTTTTTTGTTTGTTTTCTTCAAATCTCAAAATGTACATTAAATTTTCCAACTACCTACCATTTCAACATCAGAAACAGGTCCAAAGCTCGTGACATATATGTCAGTTTTTACTTCTGTAACAGGACCTAATGGGTATGAAGTAAATAAGTGTGAAAAAATAATTACTAATTTTACAGGAAAGGTGGCTTTAGATAATCAGAGTTAATACAAATATATCTCATATTTTTACAAGCATCTTAGTTTTCAGTGAGATAATGCATCTTTACAAAAAAATGTAGCCAAAACCAGAAAGCGGTGTTTACTTACAGGTAAACAAAATAAAACAAAAGAACACCCAATTACTCACCAGGAACTTGCTTCTTCAAAAATACATCACCCCCAGGCACTGTTAAGACAGGCCGTGCAGAGACCAAAAGCTTTAGCCTTTGTGATTTTTTTATAGTCCATCATCTGATTGACCTTTTAGTAAAGAAGTGAGCTTTTAAAAAGAGGGAACTTAGCCCCAAGGTAAGGAGGAAAAAATAATAATGACTGCAAGAAATGCATTTTTTTGGAGAGTTGAGAGTAGTGGTAAATAACATAGACACAAAAATGATGCATGTCACCTTTAACAATAGGCAGACCATCACTGGTGATTGGGATCAAAGACAACTTCTCCCATAAATCAGACTTTTTCATGCTCTGCCACTTAAAGGCTGTGTGATCTTGGGCAAGTTACTTAACCTCTCAATAGCAGCAACTGTACATATAAAGCAAGATTGTTGGTAAGGGTCAAATGACACTGCTCATTTGAGACTCTGAACACAGAGTCTTTCATGGAAGTAGTTATTAAGTAGTAGTTTGTTTGTTTCCAATAACGGCCACACTGAGATTCTTTCCGAGGCCTAAATAAGACTGGTGCAGGAATATATGAGTGTGTTTGGCATCTTGACAATGGGCCGACACAGGCTGTAGACAAAGGAAAATTGCCACAATCTGGATTTAGCATGATGCTTAAATTAGGAATTCTGGACTTCAAATTTGGCTCTAATACTTTTTAATTGTTTGATTTTGGCCAAGGCAAGTATCCTCAGAGGTAAAGGTTTTAATAACTGAAATAATACGTGTAAATCGCTTGTCCCAGTCTCTAGAACATAATGTGCTCAATAATTATACTAGTTATTACAATATATAATATAGCTTTTTATGACTAATAAAGAAAAAATTGTTGCCCTCTTGAAGATCATTTCCTTAAATGATGGTTTATAATACTGTATGACCAGAGGCTAGATACTCCATGTTGAAAAAAATAACATCTGCTATCAAGATGGACTATTCTCTTGGATACTGGTTGGGCAAATGGATTTATGCCAAAAAAGACAAAGAGAAGTTGGTATAGCTTAGTGCCGTAGGTCTAAAGTTACCCACATAAAAATGAATCAGAATATTTCTTTCTCTTTAGAATGAAGACTGAACCATAGACAGGAAAATAGCTTGAAGGAGAAGGAGACAATTTTTTCCTAAGTAAGTATCCTAAGAAAAATATAACCTTTGGAAGTATAGTCAGAGAAAAAGCATAGATCAGGCTGATCTGTCATGAGTTTTCATTTTTAAAAAATAACACCTTTGGAAAACAGAGAAAGTATGAGAAGTTCATTGAATTTTTACTTGAATGAGCAATTTGAAACAACAAAAATGTAGTAGTAATAACTCATTAAAGCCAAACTGTTCCAGGAAGAGATAGGTAATCCAGGAAGCAGGTACCATGTGTTGAACCTTAGAAGATGGAGATTTCACTCAAAGTGGTTCAAGGGTGGGAGTAATCACTCTGCTAGTTTCTTAAGGACAATTGCTAAAGTGTTAAAAGCACTATTTCACACTGCAAGTCGGGACAAAAAGAGATAAGTTACTTAGAACAATTAAAGTTGAATATGTCCAAACAACTGGACCGTTTGACAAGATTCTTGAAAAATCAAGTTACTTTGAAGATCAATTTAGGGCAGTGTTCTCAAAGTTTTACTGGATCAGAATCCCCTGGAAGCCATGTGGAAGCACAGGCTGCTGACCCCACCTCAGACTTGCTGATCAAGGGCCTAAGGGAGGGCCAGGCTATTTGCAAATGGAACAAGTTCCTAGGTGGTGATGTTCATTTTACTCTATTTTACAGGCAGTGTGCATCTGTTTTTTTAGAATTCACCAAACTGGGTCCTGGAAAATGTGAATACCATAGGTGTTCTATGGGAGGGGGAAATATAGGAGAGGGAAGAATTAAGCCAATGATATTTTTCCTTATAAATCTATTTCAAGTTGTGTGGGTTTATGCTAATTCTTCTTGTAGTATAATGATTCTATGATATTAATGGATATTTTCAAATATTACATAATATGCCACATTTTCAACGTTTCTTGAAAAGTTTTTGCATTTAGAATTTCAACCTTGGTATTTGTGACATTTTTCAGTATTTACTTTTTCTGACCTTCAAAATCTTTGAGATTGAGTGAGATCCTAAAAACATGTGATTAGTAAAGAGATTTCATTCAGATGCAGCTCATTCAATAAACATTTATGGAGGAGCATTTGCTGTGTGCAGGTTTCCATGTTAGGCCCTGATGCTAAAGTGGTAAATGAGACTCATGAGTTCCCTGCCTCGTGGAGTGAACATGTTATTGGAGGAGTCAGAGTATAATAAAGACATAAATTAGATGGAAGAATGCTGTCATTCGAAAGAGGAACAAAAGAGGCTGGCAACTGTGTGAGAGACTGGGAGGGCGGCTCTTGATTTTTTAGCCACTCTTCCAAGCAGTGAATTTTAGACTGAGACCTAGGATGAGCATAAACCATTGAAAGAGCTGAAATGATTGCATTCCAGGCACAGAGAACTTCAGGGGGAAAGTTCAGAGGCAGAAAATACCTTAGTGTGTCTAGGGACTAGGAAAAGGCCAGTGGAGCTGGAGCAAAGCAAGTAGAGAAGAAAAGAAGAAATAAAAGCCACAGAGAACAAAAACCAGGGTGAGTGGACAGAGACCTACCCCTGAGCCCATATTATGAAAGTGGCATCTTTTAAGCAGCATATTTATAATACATGTTCTAGTGGCAGTTCTTGAAACTATATGGGGGAAAAAAACAACAACAAACTTGTAGAAACTGCAGTGGGTGATGGGAGGCACATAAAGAGGTTGTTAAGGGCCCAATTATGGTCCTCTCATTTTTATATTGAAATCCTAACCCCCAATACCTCAGAATGTGACCATATTTGGAGTTAGGGTCTTTAAAGAGGGAACTAAAGTAAAACGAGGTCACTAGGGTGGGCCCTAATCTAATGTGACTTGTGTCCTTGTAAGAAGAGGAGATTAGAACACAGGAAGGCACAGAAGAAAGACCATGTGACAACACAGAGGGAAGATGGCCATCTATACGCAAAAGGCAGAGGACCCGAAAGAAACCAACCCTGCTGACACCTTGATCTTGGACATCCAGCTTCCACAACTGTGAAAAAATAAACTTGCTATGTTTAAGCTGCCTAGTTTGTGGCCCTTTGTTATGGCAGCCTGCGCAAAGGAATACAGAGGCTCTTCATTTTCCCCATGTTTTTCTCCTCAGGTTTTCTCCCTCTCCTATGGAGCACAGCTCCGCCTCTGCATACGGGTTGTGAGAAGCAGCTTGATTTGTATCCCTTAATCATCAAGGATTTGAGGTAGGGAAATTATATGATCTGAACTGTATTTTTTACAAAGTCACTCTGGCAGTTGCATAGACAGCAAATTTTAGGGAGGCAAGAGTAGGAGAAAGGCTCTTATAAAAGGCTGTCCTACTAGCCCAGTTGAGAAATGATGGTGGCCTGGACTAGGGATGTAGCAGAGGCGATGGACAGTGGACAGACCCAGGGGCATGTTATTGTGGAACTGCTCACAGTGAATGGGTTTTCTCCAGAGAGCAAGAAACAGAGACATCATAATTCTATTAGTTGAAGACCTACTATGTATCAGACAAGATACTAGGCTCTTTCCATGTGCTATTTCATTTAATCCTCTGGTGATATTATCATAAGAGTTTTAGGGATACAGAAACTCAGCTAACAGAGATTAAATATTATATGCCTGACTCAGAATTATAACCCCCCTTGTATTGATCTCCAAAGCATGTTCTAGCTTTACTACACTAATTATATCATTAAATAATAAATCAGTAATTAATTATGTGTATGATTTTATATCTAGTATATAACATGCTATGTTTCCTGTTTTGTTTATGAGTGGTTTCTGAACTGTGTTCCTGCAGCTCTTTCTATGCCTTTGCTCTTATTATCGCAGCCTGTTTCAGTCTCTCTTTCTCCCATTAACAGCAAAGGCAAATCTTAATCCTCTCTGAAGTTCCCAGTTGTCACAGTTCTTTGCATATACTAGGTGGTAAATAACTATGTGTTTGACTCTGTTCCGAATATCATCCCAGTAGCAATGTAAAAACCTCCCCAAAGGAGAAAATTTCTGAGGTTCCTTTGTTACGTCAATTAAACTAAAAACATTTCCCAGTAAAAGCAGAAATTGTGTCTTATTTATATTTTTATCTGCTCCCAGAACTAATCTCAAGCCTTAAATATAATAGGTTTCCAATAAATCAGTTCTCAATGAATAATGGTCACTATGCAATTAAGAATAATTCTTAGACATGCTTCCTCTAACACTACTGTTTAGGATGTTCAAATCAACCTTTCTAAGAGCATAATTACATAGAAACCAGATAATTTTAAGCTTGGGAGGACTTTTCATAATTTTATATGCATTTGTATAACATCAAAGATAAGTTTTATTTTAAAAATTCTACTTCTTTGGTAACAGAGAAATGTTTTTTAATCCCAAAATACAGTGGGCAGTTTGTAAGACAAACAAGTGACCTTGAACAGCCTTTGAAAGAGCCAAAACTACCAAGATCAAATTCAGGGAAATACTCTCATCTTATTAATGAATCTAACTTGCTTGGAAAGTAGGAAGGCAGTTAACAATGTTATCAGATAATTTTCCACTGTTAACTACTTTAGCTATATAGGCCTGGTCAAAGGATATCTCTATTTAACTTCTTTTCCCATTATAATGTCCAATTTGCTGTCACACCAGGAGAAAGACCTAAGCTTTTGGGCTGCTGTTGAAA